TCAGACGTGGAGGTCCAGCTGCCCAGAGGGTCAGACGTGGAGGTGCAGCTGCCCAGGGGGTCAGACGTGGAGGTGCAGCTGCCCAGGGGGTCAGATGTGGAGGTGCAGCTGCCCAGGGGGTCAGATGTGGAGGTGCAGCTGCCCAGGGGGTCAGATGTCGGCATGCAGCTAACCAGGGGGTCAGACACGGGCATGCAGCTAACCAGGGGGTCAGACGTGGGCCTGCAGCAAACCAGAGGGTCAGACATGGGCTTGCAGCTAACAAGGGGGTCAGACGCGGGCCTGCAGCTGCCCAGAGGGTCAGACGTGGGCTTGCAGCTAACAAGGGGGTCAGACGTGGGCCTGCAGCTGCACAGAGGGTCAGACGTTGGCCTGCAGCTGCACAGAGGGTCAGACGTGGGCTTCCAGTTGCACAGAGGGTTAGACGTGGGCTTGCAGTGGTCCAGACGGTTGTGGCCAGAAGCTGCTGTGTTTCTAATCAGGCTGAATGGCAGGAGCAGGTAGTAACATACTTCTGGCACCACATACAAGCAGAGTGATTAGTTTGCATTCTGGCAGCAAGTAGAGAGTAAGGCAGGTATATAAAGGGACTGCAACAGGTTGACAGACTTGGGGATAATTAGTGGCAGCAGCTGGAGCGAGTTATAATGCTAACTGGTGGTTTTGAAGAGTCTAGAGAAAATGTACCTTGGAGTGGGAGTAATTAGTCCAAAACTGAAACAGAATAAAAACCAAAGCATGGCACTGAGATGGCTTCAAAAATAAGGATTGGATGCTAAAGTGATAATTTTGATATAGATATATAAAGTAGACCGGTTAAAGAATGTTTGTCCAAATGTTGCTTTTAAAGTTAAACTACAACAACTTGTTTTTGCAACCAGCAGTGGTATAAACTGCATAAACTGGTTCAGTGAAAGGTGTTCAATGAATATGTTCATATTTTCAGTGAACGGTGAACTGAACTGAGCAGTTTCGAAGTAATGAACATGAAGGAGGATGTTCGCTCTCTGAATAATGAGCGACACACAGCTTGCGTTCCCGTTCAACTGATAACAATACTTTTCATTGGAAAATGTCTGGTTTTACAGCACTTAGCATGACAGACCAGCATGTCTACTGCTAGTACTAGTCTCCACACTCATCTTCTGGTATTTTTTTGTTGACAGTTTTGCAGAGCAGTTGGCAGAGTTTTGTGAAATGACAAGTGAAGACTAAGACAGAAAAAAAAACAAACGTATTTGTGCAAACTGTGCCCACTGGGACTTAACAAACAAGCCATACTTTAGCCACGTCCACTTCAAATTTAAAGCAACACGTTGAGTTAAAGCATCCAAGCTATCTTGGAAAATATCTCCTACTGAATGAGGAATGTAAGAAATCATTTAAAGCAAAACCTGAATGTTCCTGCATGTTTCTGAAGTTCTGTGTAATTTGGCTAAACAAAGGCTTCACTACTCATCCAGTATAACTTTACTGCATCTAGTATTTTCCTTTTCTCTATATATATTATGATCACACATTTAAAGGGTGAAATATGAGGTTCGATTGTGTAGGATTGTAGCTTAATTTACCAAATTAACTTAAACTAGTTCCTTTATAGGTTTTTGAACTTAGATAATTTTTTGAAAAAGTGAACTATGAACATGAAATAGTTCATTTTCTTCTCTGTGAACTGAACCTTGTAGCTCGTTCTTTTTAATTATGAACTGGCACAGAAATGGGAACCACCAATCATTTTCTGGATTATTACAGGAAACTTTTTTTTCACTCATCCTTTTAGAAAAAGTAGAGACCATTATGTTGGTTGTTTCGTTTGCAGTTACCACTATCAAACAGAGTCCATACATGTTTAGATGAGCTCAAGTCTGGGCTTTTCTAGAAGTTTAATCCAGCTTCCATTTTTCCTTCCAAACACAAATTTTATGCTTTTTGGCATCTTTTTTTTTTTTTTTCCAAAGATTAGTTTCTGTGTTTGTATATCATTTAGACAGAATGTATAATCCTTCAACTAGAACTAACTAAAAGTTCTGTACCCAACTCTTCTTTTTAAAAAACTCGTTTAGATTTTTTTTTAGCTTTTTTCCCACAAAGAATGACTTATTCAAATCTTCTTTAATAGCCAAGAATGATGCACATGATGGCTGTGTGTAAACTATGAACAGTTTTCACAGCTTAAGATCCTTAATCCGAAATTAAAGTGCACACTTTTGATAGAGACTTAAGTCTGATACAAAATCAAACAGACAGAAATTAACTGTTGCAAAAGTAGAGTTCATAGACATCCAGAGACTTTCTGCAGCCCTGTCTGCAACCTGTGAGTCATAAATATCATGGCAGCACATAAAAAGCAGCTGTTCTTTTCCACAGCTTAAGTTTCTCTTTGCAAATTCACCAATGAGTCTTTTGGCCCGTATAAATGAAACTTAGCAAGACAAAGAGATCTAACAGGCCAGATGCAGAGCAGACGTGTTTCTAGCTGCTCGCAGGTCAAAAACACCCACACACTTCCTACCCTTTATCATCCATCTGTGTTTCCAGCCAGGTGGACAACAAAGAAGCCATGAAAAGAATAATCCTGTCCTAAAGCTTCAGAAGTGGTGGACTGAAAGTTATCAGTCCCATTTAATTGCAAACACAATTTGGAGTAAAACACAATTCTATTGTCTGTTCCTGCTTCTCTCCCTGTAATCCCCTAATCCTCACATATTCTGTCAATGAAATTAAATAAAAGCAATTCCTGCTGGGATTGCATTGTAAGTCATAGAGTAGGGATTTTCTTTGTTGAATGAATGAAGGAGCATTGGAAGGTCAGAGAATGATGACTCGGCATGGCAGTGTCAAAGACAGTCACTGTAGGCACATGCTAGAAGCTAAAAGCTTTGGGCCTGTTTACAGGAACAAGTGCAAAGTCTTTGAAATTATGAGTATGCTCCATTTCAGGTTTTTAAGATAAAAATATTTCTTTTTCTAAATTTTAAACCTTATCTCTATGTATGAATGCAGTCCTTCCTAGCTTGAGCACTTTCTCACTTTCATTCATTGTCTTTGCTACCTCTCTTTTTTCTTTGGGTTTTCCATCTTTTGCTCCTTCCTGTGCTTACTGGTCTCCTTCTTTTCCTCCATCTTCCAATGAGTCCTTCCTTCATTCATTTTCTTCCATTCCTCAATTTGTTCCATTGATCTTTATCATGTTGGTATCCCTTTTATGCGTCCTTCATTCCTTATTCCTTGTGTCCTCCACAGGTTGTATTTAGCTAATTTATAGTTTGTGTCCACCCTCCAGTATTTCTCTATCTTTCTTACTCGATGCGTTATCCTTCATTTCATCCCATTTGTCTCCTTTCCTTATTTTTTGACTTTTATCTGCCTTGAAATCATTGTGTTCTTCCTACCTTGTATCTTTGCTAAATGTATTCCTTATTTGTTTCCCTCCTTCCATCTTTACCCATCTCATTCCTTCCTCACTCTCTGCTTTGTTTTTCTCTCTTTATTCTTTAATTCTCTTTGTATTATTTGCTCTCTTCTATTCTCCCATGTAGCCCCTTTGCGTCCTGTTCTTGTTTCCTTCCTTCTCCATTTTTCTCCACCTACGTGTGCTTCCGTCTTTCTCCCTTTGGTTCCTCTTTCTTTTATTCAACTTTTTTCATTTCTCCCATCATCCCGTCAACCCAAACTTTCTTACTTGTATCCTTCCTTCTTCTCTTCTGCCAGACCCTTGTTTTTTTTTTTTTTTTTACATGTCCCCTATTTAAACTCTGCGTGCTGTTGAAATATCTGCCATAAATTCATAGTTCACTGGTATCCTTACACTTGACATTTTTTCTGCTTGGAACACATGAATTTTGAGGACAACATTTTCAATTCCTGCCTATTAGGTGTCACTCACTAACATGCTGCCCCATATCGTCAACCCAAGCTGTTTCTATGCACCTTTGGTAGTTATGCACTGCAATCTACTGTATATGAGGGCTTATGCAGTGG